GATCATTTTAGGGTGTGTCCGAGTCCAATAGCACTTGAGGTTTTACATGGCAAGGGTATGCCCTCAACGAGTCCCAGCCACAAGTCTGCCTCAATTGCAGCGAGATTTGAGGCAGACTTGTGGCTGGTTGGTTTCTTTAGGGTCTGTCCGAGTCCAATAGCACTCGAGGTTCTACTTGGCTAGGGTCTGCCCCCAACCAGCCCCAGCCACAGGTCTGCCTTGAATGCAGCCCGATTTGAGGCAGACGTGTGGCTAGGTTGGTCATTTTAGGGTCATTTTAGGGTCCAACAGCACTCAAGGTTCTACTTGGCTAGGGCCTGCCCTACAACCATAAGTCTGCCTCAAACGCAGCCTGATTTGAGGCAGACTTGTGGCGCGGCGAGGCGAGGGGGGGGGGGGGCGCTTGCCCCACTTGCCCCACTTGCCCCACTTGCCCCACTTGCCCCAGTTACCCAGGCAGCAGGGATTACTCCTGGGCAAGTGGGGCAAGTGGGGCAAGTGGGGCAAGTGGGGCAACATCAATTAGCTTTTCCGGGCCACCAAGTGGGGCAAGTGGGGCAACATCAATTAGCTCTTCTGGAAAGGCAAGTGGGGCAAGTGGGGCAAGTGGGGCAACATCAATTAGCGGACCCCCTGGGCGCTCGCAATGGTTCTGAGGGTTCTGAGGGCTCAGGGCCTCAGGGTTTAGCAATTCGGATGCAGGTTGTGGGCTAAGGGTTATGGTTTTTGGGTTAGGGCTCAGGGGGCTTAAGGCTTAGCGTCTTGGGTTTAGGGTAGGGCTTGTGCGGGGTATTGAGGGGCTCTGCGGAATCCAGACTTTTGGGTACACTCGGGACACTTGGCGCACATGGGGGCACTGGTATTGGGGACACCTCATTCACCTCATTCACTCGGTCACCTGAACCACCTGGATCACTTGGGTCCCCCTCAAGGCCCCTAAACCCTAAACCCTAAGCCCTAAACACCGGGTCTGGCCTGGAGCAGCTTCGAGGGACCTTGACGAGTCCTGTGCAGTCGTGGTTGACGGTTGAGGGCTTCTACACGGGGTGGTTTCCCAAAACATACAGGTACCCCTATATAAACCCGAAACCCTGAACCCTATTGTTTTAAGCCCCAGACCCTAAACCCCAAACCCCAAACCCTAAACCCTAAACCCTCGGCCCTAAACCCTGAACCCTAAACCTCAACTGTGAACCCGAAACCCTAACCTTTGGACTGCATAAGGGGTGCCTCGGACCTGCTCTGAACGTAATCCCTTAGCCCGACAGCTTGTGGGCCTTGGAGTTTTTAGGGTTTAGCGCCAGCTCCCTAAACCCTAAATTACTAAACCCTAAACCCTAAACCCTAAACCCTAAACCCTAAACCCTAAACCCTAAACCCTGACATCCTCGTTTCCTGAAATCCTGAAACCCTAAACCCCCAAACCCCAATTCCTGAAATCCTGAAACCCCAAGAAGCCTGAAGTCCCAGCTTCCTGAACTAAACCCAAAAGCCTACACCCTGAAATCCTGGCTTGCTAGCCCGAAAAACCTTGAAACCCTAAAATCCTACACCCCTCAAACCCTAAAGCCCTAAAACCCCAAACCCTAAACTCTCCAAATCCTGGTTCCTGAAACCCTAAAACCGTAAACCCCCCCCCCCCCCCCCCCCAAACCTTAAGCCCTAAACCCTAAACCCTAAACCCAAAACCCTAAACCCAAAATTTGCTTTTAAACCCTAAGCCCTAAACCCAAAACCAAAAACCCAAAACCCTAAAACCTAAACTCTCACCTGACTGCATCGGGGCCCCTGCGCACACAGGCCAGCAAGGCCCAAGAGGAGCAGAAGAAGCGAAGGCACGCACAGGAACCTGCTTGGGATTTGGGGTTTAGGGTTATAGGGCTTAGGGTTTAGGGTTTAGGGTTTAGGGCTTAGGGTTTAGGCTTGGGATTTGGAGTATAGGGGATGAGGGTTTAGGGCTTAGGGGTTATAGGGCTTTGGTGCTTTGGGGTCTTGTATTTCTGGGGTGGATGCATACAAGACTGACCTTCGTTGGGCCATAGAAGGGTTGCAGAGGGCTGGGGACAAAAGGAGCTTTTTAGAAACTCAACCCAGTCAGGGTTGAGGGATTCGGCGGGGGTGCGATAAAACCAATGAGTGTCCTTTGTGGTTTAAAGAGGCTTCTAAGGGAATCTAAACGCCCCCCCACTCTGATTCCTAGAACCCGTGATCCCCAGATCCTAAACCCTCAACCCTAAACATGTTCTCGTGTTTACGGGTTCAAGGTTTACGGGCTTAGGCAGGGATAGTGTTTGCTGGGGCTTGGGGCTGGTTCTACGGGGGCCCTCGGCATCGCCTCCTTGCTGTTCAACCTGCTTAGGGTTTAGGGTTTAGGGTTTAGGGTTTAGGGTTTAGGGTTTAGGGTTTAGGGTTTAGGGTTTAGGGTTTAGGGTTTAGGGTTTAGGGTTTAGGGTTTAGGGTTTAGGGTTTAGGGTTTAGGGTTTAGGGTCAGCTACGTGGACCCCTTGTCGGAAGTCGATGCCATCCAGATCTTTCTAGGATCGACTCTTTGGGAGATCTCATCGTCTACATGGTGGAGTCTTGCATGGGTGGCGTGTCAGTTTGGTACGCTGCTCTCCTGCGAGTGCTCCACCAGTCTCTCCCTCCCCCCATGCCCCATACACGCTAAGCCTCAAGCTCAAACCCATACACTAAGAACCTTCAACTTAAACTCTCCACTTTGCTCCATAAAAGGGCTTCTTCAAGCGAAACCCAACATGCTAGAACCCAAGCATCTCAACACGCACACAGGGGCTTGAAAACGAAACCCCTAAACACAAAACCCTAAGGTCGTCCTAGAACCCCCTTAGAAGCCTGCACCCAAGAGTAGCCTAGGAATAAAAGGGCTTAGGGTTTAGGGTTTAGGGTTTAGGGTTTAGGGTTTAGGCTTTAGGGTTTAGGGTGACCCAAGAGGAACCTGGGAATACGAAGGCTGCCCGCCTGGGTTTGAAAGGGGCTTACAGAGGAACCGACGCCTTAAGAAAGGGGCAGAAGGGATGCCTTGAGATGTTCCTTCTTGCACTACCAGTCCTTAAAGGGGATTTTCGGGGGACCCTAAACCATAAACTCTGAACCCTAGACCCTGAACCCTGAACCCTGAACTCTGAACCTTGAACCCCAAACCCCAAACCCCAAACCCCAAACCCTAAACCCTAAACCCTAGACCCTAAACTCTCAACCCCAATCCCAAGTAAAATGCCGCTCTAAGGTGCGGGCCATGCCACTTCGGGCACCAGCTGGGCAAGGACCTCGACTAGGTTTGAGGGTGTCGAGGGTTCAGGGGGTTTAGGGGTTTAGGGGTTTCATTTCGGGTTTAGGGTTTGGGGTTTAGGGTTTCGGGTCTAGGGGTTTAGGGGTTTAGGGGTTTACGGGTTTAGGGGTATTGAGGGTTCAGGGGTTTGGTTTAGGGTTATTTAGGGGTTGAGGGTTTACGGGTTTAGGGCTCTAGGGGTTTAGGGGGTAAGGGGTTTAAGGGTTATAGTTAAGGAGGGTTTAAGGGGTTCAGGGGTCTGGGACTCTAGGGGCGAAGCGTGTAGGCCTTCAGGGGCCAGGACCTCTTCCTTCAGGGGTTCGTAGGCAAGTGCTACCTTGAGGGTTCATTTGGTGGCTTTTGGAGGGGGGGGGGGGGCGCTTTGGGGCTTGGGGAAGAAGTTTGCGCCAGGAAACAAGGGCCCCTTGGTGCTTGTTGGGGGGCTTGGAAGGCACCTATCCCTAAACCCTAAACCCTAAACCCTAAACCCTAAACCCTAAACCCTAAACCCTAAACCCTAAACCCTAAACCCTAAACCCTAAACCCGAAAAGAAGGAATGATGGCGCAGCATCCAGCTTATTGGTGTACAGTGTTCCAACTTCACACAACGAACCACCATGGAAACACCATGCAGCGCCAAGGAACCTGAAACCCCTTCTACTATTTGCTTAAGAACCCCCCCCCCCCCAAAAAAAAAAAAAAAAGACAAAAGAATAATCCCTATATTACCCTTCCTTACATGGAAGAACATTCTATATTTCTTGGGGGTTCTGAAGCACTTGGTAGCCTTAAAAGCACAGTAGGGTTTAGGGTTTAGGGTTTCGGCCCCTCACATAAGCCGCCAGGCCATCTGGCCTCCGTCGGCTCCATCTTTGGCGGCGTCTTTCCGAGCTGTAGACCCGGATTAGGGTTTAGGGTTTAGGGTTTAGGGTTTAGGGTTTAGGGTTTAGGGTTTAGGGTTGGCACTCCAGATGCCGAGGGAGCTTCCGCTTTTGCGGAATCGCCTTCTGCTGCTTGGACGTTGCAACCAGGCGCTTCGGTAGGTGGTGTAAGGAGCATCTGCCTATATCTCCTTGAAAATCCAACTCGTCTTCCAGAAGGACCTTTAGATCAAGCCCCCCCCCCCCCACCCCCCCGCCCCATATGAGGAAGTTCAGGCATGCGACAATCAACAAGCATCTTCACGCCGACCCGAGAGTAGCTGAGGGCACACGGACACCCCCAACACCTTACACCAAAAAAACCCTAAGCTGCAGCCTCAGCAGTTCACCCTAAACCCTAAACCCTAAACCCTAAACCCTAAACCCTAAACCCTAAACCCTAAACCCTAAACCCTAAACCCTAAACCCTAAACCCTAAACCCTAAACCCTAAACCCTAAACCCTAAACCCTAAACCCCAAACCCTCCCTTGAGCGCGCGCACAGGCTCGGCCCAGCCGAGGCCGGCAAGCAAGACGGTGAGGCCGCCGGAGACCAGGCAGCACCTTCGAGTGCAGAGGTTTAGGGTTTAGGGTTTAGGGTTTAGGGTTTAGGGTTTAGGGTTTAGGGTTTAGGGATAGGGTTTAGGATTAGGTTTTAGGGTTTAGTGCTCAACCCGAAGCCCCTGAACCCAAAACCCCAGCCCTCAACCGTCAACTGCCAACTGTCACAAATTCCCGACGTCGCAATGCACGTCATGTACCCTAACAGCATCTACGGGGCCCTCCTCCCCTTTAAAGCGGACCCCCTCCATACACCTTCTGTACCCTATAAACCCTAAAACTCCCGAAGGGCCCTATGCTTCGGAACACTTTAGGGTTTAGGGTTTAGGGCTTAAGGCAGTTTAGGGTTTAGGGCTTAGTAGGGTTTAGGGCTTAGTAGGGTTTAGGGCTTAGTAGGGTTTAGTAGGGTTCAGTAGTAGGGTTTAATAGGGTTTAGGGTTTAGGGCTTTAACGCACCCTCCCTCCCTTCCGTCTCGCCTGGCACTGCACCGAAGTGCCCTGGCAAAGCATGGCGGTTTAGGGCTTGCGGACCTTCCCCCCTCAATAGAAAAAGAACCCTAAACCCTAAACCCTAGACCCTAAATCCTAAACCCCCAAACCCCCAAACCCTAAACCCTAAACCCCAAACCCAACCTCGCTGGAGGTCATAAGGTTCTTGCCACTGAAAGTCCTTACTTTTCTGCGGGCAGGGGGAAAGGACGACTGAGGCGCAGTTGGAGTCTTTGGCCTTGGACACTTTCAGGGTGGCTTAGCTTTAGGGTTTAGGGTTTAGGGTTTAGGGTTTAGGGTTTAGGGTTTAGGGTTTAGGGTTTAGGGTTTAGGGTTTAGGGTTTAGGGTTTAGGGTTTAGGGTTTAGGGTTTAGGGTTTAGGGTTTAGGGTTTAGGGTTTAGGGTTTCTGGTTTCTGGTTTAGGGTTTAGGGTTTAGGGCTTAGGGCTTAGGGCTTAGGGCTAAACTTGAAGGGCCAGTCCGACCTTGTGGCGGCGCTGTCGCCTACATCTGGCCGAACGACCTGAAGATGGCGAAGATAGAGGAAGCATTGAACCCATCTCGTGGTTTAGGGTTTAGGGTTTACGGTTTAGGGTTTAGGGTTTATTCAGGGTATTGTTGCGACCCAAGATGCACCTTAAATAAGGCCTTTTCCGGGCTTGCTTTTTGCCTCTAACTAAATACAATGTCACTTCTTGGGAGGGGGGCGAAGAGGGGGTGGGGAGGGAGTTTAAGATCCGATGGTTGCCGGGATTAGGATTGAGGGTTTACATGCCAGACCCTAAGCCCTTTTGAGCCGCCCTGAACTCTAAAGCCTTCACCCCGAACACCCATAAACCCTAAAGCCCTAAACCCTGGGCCTTAACCCTCCTAAAACGACAGCCGGCTTTGGGCACTCACCGCAAGATCAGGTAGAGAGCCCTGGAGAACAGAATATTTCCATCCTTTAGCCACTGAAGGGTCGTTTCCCAGGCTTCCCTAAGCCCTAGACCCTAAACCAGTTTCCGTGCTTCCCTTGGCAGAAAATGCTACCGAATAACCCTAAACCCTAAACCCTAAACCCTAAACCCTGAACCCCTCTGGTTCAGGGAGGGCGGGCTGGGGCTTTCGGGTATGTTGGCACCATGCAAGTTGTCAAGGTGCCATTCGCAACAGAAGCAGCTGCTTCGGATTCGGCCATCGCCGCAGTGCACGCTAATTAAACGCCCAACCCTAAGCCGTCAAACCTACATTCTAAACCCTAAATCCGAAACCCTAAGCTGCAGAACGGTCAAGAGTGCAGTTTCACCGTTTGGGAAAGGAAGAGGGCAGGTACTGGGTGCAGGGTCTGTGTGCAGGGTTTAGGGTTTAGGGTTTAGGGTTAGGTCCACCAGCCTTGACGGGGTCCACTTAGGGTATGGGTTCAGGGCTCAGGGCTGAGGGTTGAGGGCTAGGGGATAAGTTTAGGGTTTAGGGTTTGGGGTTTAGGGCTTAGGGGCGTAGCTCTAGCTTCTCGATTCCCATGAGATGCTATTTCTCACATGGTGAGACCTTTCGAGCCTTCAACACCCTCAACCCTGCACCAGAAGCCCTGCGCCAACCCTAAACCATAAACCCTAAACCCTAAATCCTGAACCCTGAACCCTAAACCCTCAACCCTAAACCTCAGCCTCTGAACCTCTAAACCCTAGAAGTTAAGCTTTTCTGGCTTTGCAGAGACCAAGCGGGTTTAGGGTTTGGGGTTGAAACCCCAAACCCCAGACCCTAAACCCTAAACCCTAAACCCTAAGCCTAAACCTGGTCCTGCAGCTTGAGGTTTGCGGCTTCAGGGGTTCAGGGAATTTGGTTAGGTTGGCCCTATACACCTGTACAAGTCTTAATCACTTGCCAATAATCCCCCCCCCCCCCCCCCCCCCCCCCAAAGTAAGGGATCCACACTATGGGCCGTTCATTTGGGTCCCCTGTTATATAACCCTTATATACACTGTGCATAGTAAGGGCCCGTACTTCGGACCCCTTTAAAGCTCTGTAAACAAGGATAAGGAACAATACTCGGGGCCCATGCAACCTTAGACAAAAGCACACAAGCAAAAACATGGGATAGGGAGGTCCCATATAAATCCGCTTATAGTGAAGCCCAATGAGATAGGATACCGCTGATTAAAGGCTTCCTAAACCCTAAACCCTAAACCCTAAACCCTAAACCCTAAACACTAAACACTAAACCCTAAACCCTAAACCCTAAACCCTAAACCCTAAACCCTAAACCCTAAACCCTCTTGGGGTTGGCTGCTTCATAAGGGAACCTTGAACCACAAGAATGGCAAAGAAGACCGCTGGGCTACCAAGTCAAGGCACCCTAAACCCTAAACCCTAAACCCTAAACCCTAAACCCTAAACCCTAAACCCTAAACCCTGAACCCTATAGCACCTGGCATGAGGAGGCTTTTTTGCTTCGAACGGTTCTCGGAGATACGCGGTTCCAGAGAGTCAACGATTCCGATTGCACCCCCCCCCCCCCCCCCCTCCTCGGCTAATCTACTCTTTGCTCAGGAACCACCCAAAGAATAGAACTACTCTACCTCAAAAAGCGCAACATGGGGATTCATAAACCGTAAACCTCTAGGCTTTAGACCTCAGAGATTCAGGGCCTCAAGCCTTGGACACGTCTAGGAGATACCTACCTCGTGGCCAGGGGGGGAGTGCGACAGGAGTCCCTGGCAAGTTGCTACTTAGATGAACTGATCAACTGGCTCTGTCCATGGGCGTAGCCATCTGCCTAAACCCTGAACCGCAAATCCTAAACTCTGAGGGTTGAGGACTGAGGGAAAGCTAATTAAAACGTTCATTGAAGGGCTTATCTTAGGGTGTAGGGTTTCTCCTAATCCCTAAACCCTCAACCTGAAAAACCCTTTCAACTTTCTAAACCGAAACCCTAAACCCAAAACCCTCAACCCTAAACCGTGGTACAGAGGGGCAGCGGCAAGGGGCTTTGACGGCTCGGGGTTCTGATTGTTTCGAGGATAGAAGAAGGGTTTGGGGCTTAGGTTCAAGGTATCCGAAGCATCCCTAAACCCTAAAACCTAACCCTAAACCCTAAACCCTTTGAAACCCTAAGTCCCTAACCGTAAACTCCTGAACTCGTGAACTGGGGCCTGCCATAGTTGATCAACTCCACTATATGAGCCACAGTCAAAATCGCGGCGTCATGGAAGGCTTCGAGTTCTTCCGGGCTTTAGGGTTTAGGGTTTAGGATTTGGTTCGACCCCTTTCGCGGCTTCCTGGGCGCAGGACCCTTCTGAAAGCAATCTCATGCACAATCTAGGGCAATGGAAGGGTTTAGGGTTTAGGGTTCAGGGTTCAGGGTTTAGGGTTTAACTCCATCAACTTAGTACGGATGACGATTTTGGGCAGGTTATCTTATGGCCAGGGGACAACAGTGGGGACATGACTTGGGGTCTCCTATCGCAACAGCGCGCCCTAAACCCTAAACCCTAAACCCTAAACTCTAAACCCTAACCCTAAACCCTTAACCCGAAACTTTGCGCAGCGAGCCATCATTTTGACCGTGCTTCATACTCAAGCCTCAGACAGGCAGGCCCGGCATTGAACAATCTACGATCTTTGGAAAACCTCTTCGGGGTCACGCCACACGGCCGCGGAGCGTTGTGAGGCGAGAGTCCTCATATACCCTCTATAACCCCAGGCCCCCATACTTCGGAACACTTCAAAGAAGGTAAGGGAAGGTAAGTAAAGGTAAGGGAAGGTAAGGGAAGGTAAGGGAACATGTCTAGTTCACGGTTTGGATAGCACTAAAGATTTGAATTTATATCCGTTCTTGAGTTTAAGTGCCCTTAAACATGCATGTGACCCCACAAAGACAAAGCAAAGTCTTCAAAGCTATCTAGTCTAGCAAGTATGAATCTTGGACTGCAAAGCTTGCCGGCAGCAGCTTAAGTACAGCCCTCCGCGGATGATTTGCTTCGCAGTGTTTGGATGGAGATACGAGGATCCAGAGCGTCAAAGATTCCGATTGCATCCCCTGTGATTCGGGCCCCCTAACTAGGGTGTTTAGGGTGCCGGTGTTGAGGGTTTAGGTGTTTAGGGTTTAGGTGTTTAGAGTGTAGGGTGTAGGTTTCTTGCTGGCATGGCCCTCTGGCTAAACCCGAAACAGAGGGCATGTGCAACTGGAGTCTCTGGCAAGTGGTTACTTGCCATCTGCCTGATCTGTGTCGAGGCGCAGACCAAACCTAAACGCTTAACTCAAAAACCCAAGCACACAAGCAAACCTATGCCTGGGCCTTTCATGCGTACATAGAGGTGCTGAAGCATTGCACCCTACAACGTAAACCGTAAGCGGCATCCTGTTGCTATGGCAGTTTGGACGTCAATGACCTTATCCTTTCACAGGGCTTCTGTAACAGAAGCTCCCCCTCCACGCAAACTTGGAGGTTTGTCTTTGACAGCATCGCGCTGTTGAAGCCTTTGCTTTTTTTTCGCGCTGTCCTGGTTGATCAAGTCCAATACGAGCCACGGTCAAAACCCTAAACCCTAGACGCTAGACCCTATAGCAAAGCATCATGGAAGTTTGCTGGGCGTAAACCCTAAACCCTAAACCCTAGACCCTAAACCCTGTTTCCTTCCGGTGGTATACTATGGCTCAGTTCATCATTGTGACCGTATCTCGTATCAAGCAGGAAAGCCCTCCTCGACCAATCTGCTTTCTTTGGAAGACCCCTTCAGGTCATGCCACACAGCTGCGGAGCATTGTTTAGGGTTTAGGGCTTGGCGTTTTTGGGAGTAGGAAGTAGGGCTTTCCGACCATTTTAGAGCCGTACGTTTTTTTTCTTTTTTGCATTTTTTTGGTTTGGGGGGGGGGTGCTAGAATATTTGGGATACACCCTAACCCCTAAACCCTAAACCACAAACCCCAAACCCTAAACCCTAAGGCCTAAACCCTAGACCTTAAACCCTAACTCAGGACTTTAAGGTTGACATGGTCTTCTTGCTCCGGGGCTATGGGCGTCACTCGCAAGAGGTCGACGCGGATCTTAGTCTGGCAGAGGATTGAGGGTTTAGGGTTTAGGGCTAGGGTTTAGGGTTTAGGATCAGTCTACTTAGTATCTTTTGGAGCCCGATGGTAATCCCCATCATCCGCCTTACGAACCCTAAACCCTAGACCCTAAGTCAAAAGGGCTTCCAAGTAGCTTGGTAAAGGTTTACGGTGGCTGAGGGTTTTCTCAGGGTGCGCAGGGTGCTAGGGTTTAGGGTTTAGGGTTGAGGCTTGAATTTCTAGGCCCAGGAAGAGCCTGGGAAAAAGAGGAATACCCTTTGTTTACAGGGGCTTAGCAAGAAAAGCAGAACCACCAAAGAAGGGAATTTTGGCCCACCCTGTGTCCTAGTTGCTGGTGCCCTCATCCTCTAGCCCTGAACCCTAAACCCGAAACCCTAAGCCTTAGCGGGTTTAGGGGTTTAGGGTTTACGGGTCTAGGGTTAGGGTTAGCCCGGATCCCCTCTCGAGCCTCAAACCTCTACAAGCTGTAAACCCTCGAAAGACCAGCAGCCCCAAAACCCAAAAAACACGCCGACCCTCAACCCCTATGAATCCCTAAACCCGAATCCCTGAACCCCAAACCTAGATGGGTATTTCCCTCATACCCTAAACCCTAAACCCTAGCCCTAAACCCTAGACCCTAAACCCTAAGCCCTATTTTCGGAAACCCCCCCAAATCCATTCCAAGGCGCCTTTTTGGCATGGGGACAAAGTGGGGCGGCGCACAAACGGTGTCACGTTCCTGCAGAGAGGGTTTAGGGTTTTAGGGTTTAGGGTTTTAGGGTTTAGGGTTTTAGGGGTTTAGGGTTTTAGGGGATTAGGGTTTTAGGGTTTAGGGTTTTAGGGTTTTAGGGTTTTAGGGCTTTAGGGTTTTAGGGTTTTAGGGTTTCAGGAAGAGGGACCAAATGTACCTCTCCATCAAGCCTTGTGAGGAACTTCGGGCCTGGATAGTTCGGCTGGGTTTAATTCGGGTTTAGGGTTTAGGGTTTAGTGTCGCCCTCAATTCCCACCATTGCTTCAAACTTCCCTACAAAGGCGTGGTGAAAAGGGGAAGCAGGGCAGGCCTAAATCAACCAATGTAGCTCAAAAATCAAGAAACAACAGATTCAAAAAC